GAGGCAAGGTTGCCCACTATCACCATTGTTATTTATATTATCTCTTGAGGTATTAACTAGAGCAATCCGGCAAGATGAACAGATCCAAGGTTTAGAAATCAAGAAAGAGACATTTAAAATACAAGCCTTTGCAGATGATTTAGTTTTTATAATTGAAGAACCACTACAATCAGGGACTAGACTGATGGAAACATTGAATAGATACGGGGAAATAGCAGGTTTAAAGATAAATAAAGAAAAAACTAAAATGCTCGTCAAAAATATGACTAAAATACAGAAAAATGAATTGTTTGACAGAATTGGTGTTCAAATCACAAATAAAATTAGATATTTAGGGATACAACTGACTGCCAAATGCGCTACGCTTAAAAGGGATAACTACAATAAGTTAATAGAACAGATTCAAAAAGATTTTGATATTTGGACTAACCTACAGCTCTCTTTTATGGGTAGAATTGCGGTGATCAAAATGAATGTGTTGCCAAAAATCTTATTTTTGTTCCAATGTATACCTATAAAATTAGACAAGAAATTTTTTCAAAATTTGAATAAAATGATGTGTAAATTCATTTGGCAAGGAAAAAGAGCAAGGATTAAATTAAAATTACTGCAGAACTCAAAGGAAAGGGGGGGATTTGGTCTTCCAGACTTGGAGAAATATTACCAGGCCGCAGCATTAGTATGGGTAAGAGATTGGATATTACTAAAAAACAGGAGACTATTATGTCTGGAGGTCCATGACCTACAAATAGGATGGCATGCCATATTATGGGATCATAAATATAAAGTACATAAATATTTTCGAAGTCACTATATTAGGCAAGCTCTTATTGATGTATGGATAAAAATTTGGCAACCAAATTATACCCAAGTACCCACTTGGATCTCACCGTTAGAAATATATGTACACTCAAAATTTACTCAATTAGACAAGACCATAACATATAAAAACATTTTAGATGAAAGAGGGGAATTGAAATCCAGGAAAACCATCCACGATGAAGGGATAGAATTAGAATGGTGGGCATACCTGCAACTGCAGGCGAGATATCAGAAAGACAAAAAAGAGTTAGGCATTAAATTAGAACCAATAGAATTGGATAAAATAATTTTGGGGTCGGAGGATAAAATGATTAAAAAATTATACTACTATTTGCTAGATCAGGCAATACGAGGAACAAGTAAAAGTGACAATGTTGAATTGGGGCAAGGACTTTGGTCTTAATTTTGATCTGCACATATGGCAAGAACTATGGGCAAGAAACAAGAAACTTACTTTGGCCACCTCTTACAAAGAGAACCTTTACAAAATGTTTTATAGATGGCATCTCCCACCCACAAGATTGTCTAAAATGTATACCAATGTTTCCCCTAAATGTTGGAAATGTAATTTGAAAAGCGGAACTTACTATCATATGTGGTGGGAATGCACGCGAGCTTGTGATTTTTGGAATAGGATTAAAATATGGCTGGAAGAAATATTAGAGCAAGCGGTAGAACTAAAACCAGAACTCTTTCTATTAGGTTTAACTACGCAAAAGCACGACAAAGGTGTACTTTATTTAATGCTACACATTTTAACGGCTTCCAGGCTGGTTTTTGCTCAAAATTGGAGGAACAAGGGAACTCCAACAGAAGAAGAGATCCTGCATAAAATTCTATCATGTGCTGAGATGGACAGGCTTACAATGATTATGAAAGACAAAACAGAACACGAATACTTCGAAATCTGGGGCAAATTTTACCGTTGGTATGAAGAACTGCTCGGACTTCAAGTTAATGGTAGAATTAAAAGATATACATAACTGTACATATAATTGTATATATAATTGCATTGTATAGAAGATGAGGCTCATATAGAGGTTAAGAACAATGTATTAAACTTTTGTACTATGATAGGAACTGATAGGAAAATTCACTCTGGAATGTCATGTTTGTCCATTGTTGTTTTAATTGTATTATGAATAAAAATATATTAAAAAAAAATAGAGCCATGGTGGCACAGTGGAATATAGTATTGCAGGCTATCTGTGCCGACTGCCAGCAGTTTAATCCTGACTTGACTCAGCCTTCCATCTTTCTGAGGTCAGTAAAATGAGGATACGGATTGTTGGGGGCAATATGCTGAATCTGTAAATCACAGAGAATGATTTACATGAAAATTAACTTGATTTTGTAATCTGACCATGTCAAATCTTACGCTTACTACCATCTAACAGGGCCTTCTGAAGAATTAATTGTCATCATAATTAATAATTAGAACTACTTTTTTCATAGGTTTTCTAATATTTACACCAATACTCTGGAAACACATCTATGATCAGATTTGATTAGTTATTGTTTTAAAATATTTCTTAACAACTTTTAACTTCTTAGGGACTTTTTTAGTTTGAGGATTTGTTTCAGTTATACTGATTTCAATGTTATAAGCTTCAAGGATTATATTCACTGATTAGAATTTTAATACAGTTAAATATATACACCAAGGTCATTGGTCACAGAAAATGGATTAAAAATATAACTAAAAGTATAAATCCATAAAATTCATGGGATAATAATGAAATGAGTTGGAGGATGGTGGCTCATTATTTCTGTTTGTCACCAAAAGTTCACTTGACAGAGAGATAATTGCAGACCAAAAGTTATGTCACTTATGATGAATGGAATGGAATGGAATAGAATAGAATAGAATAGAATACTTTATTAACCAAGTGTGATTGGGCACCAAAAAAATTTGTCTCCAGAGCAAAAGCTCCCAGTGTATATATGAACAACAAACCAATATGAGAAAATAGTTGAAAAGATGAGAAGGATAATAGTAATACAGCCACACCATGTGGGTAAATGTCCTTAGACATAAGACAGTGGTAATTAGATGTTCAGCAGAGTGATGGCTTGAAGGAAAAAACTGTCTTTGTGTCTAGTTGTTTTGACATGCAATTCCCAATAGCGGCATCCTGAGGGGACGAATTGAAACAGTTTATGTCCAGGATATGAGGGGTCTGTAGATATTTTCTCACTCTCTTTCTGACCTGTGCAGTATACAGGTTCTCAGTGGAAGGCAGTCTGGTTGCAATTATTTTTTCTGCAGTCATAACTATCAGTTGAAGTCTGTACATGTCCTGTTTGGTTGTTGTACCAAACCAGACATTTAGAGAAGTACAAATGACAGACTCAATAACTCTTCTGTAAACTGTATCATCATTTTCTGAAGCAGTCTGAATTTTATATGTTGATGTAGGAAGAACATTCTTTATTGTGTTTTTTAAATGATGGTTCTAATGTTAGGTGCCTACTTCAAATCCTTGGAGATTATAGAACCCAGAAACTTGAATGTCTCTACTACTGATACTGTGTTCTCTAATATTGTAAGAGCTGGTAGAATAGGAGGCTCCTCCTAAACTAAAATCCACTATCATTGCTACAGTTTTAAGTGTAAGGATTGGCAGGCACATTTGATTTATTCATACAATGAAATACATACTTACTGGATCAGACGCACCACTGTGTATGTCATTCTGGGTGGCTTCACACACTTATGAGAAACTTGTGACATGGCTCTTGGCTGTTTCTACTCATCCTTGATTTGACAAGGAAGAAAAAAGGTACTTTCCTATTGCTCATTTCCTTTCCAGCCAATACTTTGCACTATCATAATTTTTAGATATGCTGCTATAAAACCCTTATCAGCATTCTTCCCAGCCGCTGTTGCATATGGAACCTTACACCATACAGAATCATGAAATAACCTTACTAAATCTCACATAAAGTCTTTATACTGATGCCACTGTCCCCTTTGAGGAAACAAATGCCCACAAAAGGGGGATTTTCTTAATCTTTTCATTTGTTTTTCTGTCTGATCCACTTTTTTCCTTTATCCACCAGCATTTGTGGACAGGGGCAGAATTTATCCGAAGGACTGCTGGGTCTTTCCCTATACTGAATTGCTATTCCTCCAGTTGTTGCTGGAGTTGTGCAGTTATTGAATGACACAGACCTGCTGGGCTCAGAAATAAAAACACCATCCAAAGCCAGCAGGGGTGGAGCTGTGTGGCTCAGAGATATGGCCAGCAGAATGAAATTAATGGCTGGTTGCTATGGTGCTGAGACACCAGAATCATTCCTTATTAATGTCAATGAGGTCTTTCGTTGGAGTTGTTTTTAACTGAAAAGGCTAGCGAAAGCCAGAAAGAGAGTGGTAATTCTGCCACTGCGCAAAGCAGAAGGAAGGCCAAGGGATTTTTAAGGCTTGCCCTTTGCTCTTGGAGATGGAAATGAAGAGGAAAGGTTTCATCCTAATCACTTTTTGTCCCGATTGCATAGCAATAACGGCAGGTCTTAAAACACTTTCAAAATAAAATTACATTTTAATGCTTTTATCCCATTTATGTTCCTAGGCGTCCAAAAGACCCATTCCACTGCTCAGGTGAGTCCTAATGAAAATTCCCAAAACAAATTTGATTGTCCATGGTCATTCCTACTGGTTACCTTAAGAATATGGCATTTTTATTCACTATGCTGGAGTACAGTCAGATCTGCATAGGACAAATCTGAATATCACCACAGTATGGATAACAGAGACCAGGCCATCTCTGTGTAGGAGAGGCTGCAACTAGCAGAAATTATTTCATATCAGAAATGCCAATTGAACGTCTAAATTTAACATCTCAGTTGTGCTGAAAACTAGGTCCTTCATGGGAAAAGTGAGAACAACTGATACACTACTATCTTTCAGTTTAGACAAACCCTCTTTTCTGTATTGTCAATATTATCTTTCCTTTTCTTACGTGTTCATTACATAAAAGCATTTCCAGACAAAGTCACCCTTCTGGTTTTATTTCATTATCTGTAACAAATTGCAATCCTAGTTGGTCAGTTCAAGAACTTTTGCATACTCTCACTTGCTACGCTATTTCTTTGATCGGTAGATAACAAATATCTTCCTCTCATATTCACCCAATCGTGTCAGGAAAGAAAGTGAGAGTGTATTGATGCCTCACCTCAGATACCACACAGTTGAGTTGGAATATTTGTCCCTCTCCTTCAACTTGCCGTATGCAGAGTTTGCATACCAACTCCAGCGTGTTCAGGCTGAATCTTTCTAGGGTGAAGGTACAATGCAAATTTCTTTGACATCCACTCCAGATGTGGTAAAAGGGAATTTCCTGGAGAAGAAATAATACTGATAATAAAAATGAATTTCTGATTTTTCACTTAGTCAAATCTATGTTGGACATAAATCTAAAGTGACTAGGTTAGTGTAATAATTGATCAAATATAATTAAGAGTAGAATGGAAGGAAATAAAAGAGTAATAATTCCATAACAAAATACATAAATAAGGTAAGTGTATATTTAACATGGTGTTCTCCAGACAAACATACTCCAGAATTTTAACCATAACCTGGGAATTCTGGGAACAAAAATCTCCATTCTTTCCAATGGTATCTGAGATCCTAAAACAAGAAAAAGTTTCTAACTTAGATTTAATTTAATGTCAATTTACTGATTTTTATATAACTGATATTTATTAAATTCCCACCACTGCATTTTTATGTAAATTTCCAAATAGATTTTTATTGTTATATAATATTTGCATTATAAAAAAGAGATTAATTCTTGGAATTAACAGCAATGTAACCAGGTAGGCAGGCAGATGGATTCTAGCTAAGATATAGCTGTTTCATTTGTTGTTAAAAATATGTATTATTTCATATACAATAGTTTTCCTTACTCTACACTATCAAATATTTCTTTATTGTTTGTGTAATCATTATATGAATTGTCAACTACAGATTTTATTTATTTTTATTCCGCCTTATTATTTTATAAGTAATGCAAGGCAGCGAGCATACATTATACTTCTACCTTCTCTATTTTCTCCACAATAAGAAACCTGTGAGGTAGTTTGGGCTAAGAGAGTGATTGGCCCAAAGTCACCAATCTGGCTTCCATGCTTAAGGTGGGACTAGAACTCACAGTCTCCTGGTTTATAGGCCAGCATTCTAACCACTCACCATACTGACTCTCTCACTTAAAGGTAACATTCAAGATCTGTGGAAATGTGATGGTACACCTTTAAATAATTATTATCAGGACAAAATGTAAGAATTGAACTAGGCCAAGAGACATTTTGTTTCTCATTAGCCAACTGGACTTTGAGATACTTACAAGTAGGAATCTGAGTCTGAAATACTCTCAAACAACAGATAACAGTAAGCCATTAAGAATAATAATACTTGGCAGATCTGTCTTCTATTGGTGTTACTTATTTTTTTTTAAATAAAACTAGCTAAGTTAGTGGCTATCATCACATCTTGTGATAATTCCACAGGTTAATTATACATGGTTCAGTCATATAGTCTATTAGTCCACTGGTTCTTTTTCACATACGAGGTTAGCGATACTTTTGTCTCAATATGCATCAGTTTACACTTACTTAAATGAAACAGATATGCTATTAGGTTGACCCTTCATCCAGTTTAAAGGGATCACATTGCTATCAGTTTGATATCTTTGGCAAACTTGGCCTATTCACTGTGCATTCCTTATCAAGATCCTTTATGAGCATTTAAAAATACAAGCCCCAATACACATATCGAAAATGCAAAGTAGAATCATTTAACCAAACAACGTAGCAGCAGGTGTTAAACATTCTTTTATTCTTATCAAGTATTCAGCAATTTCAGAAATTCTATATTCCCATTTGACTTTGAAATACTGAATGATGCTTAATATTGCAAGACGGCTGATGAATTCTTCTAGAATTTGGCAATTCTTACCTGGTATTTTGCTAGTAGTTTACTCTTCCATAGGGAATGAGTAATATCATGAATAGATAAACGAAGATTATGAGTGCTACCCTTAAAATGTAAAGCCTTTGGGTCCTCCAATAATTGTCCACCCATTTGCCTCTCCAACTGCAGCACTTCCTGAGTGTTGGAAGAAATACAAAGTGCATTTAGCATGGGACTAAAAGAGTCATTGATAACATGTGAATTAAAACAAAGTTCTGCTCTATTCTGTGAAGTCAAGATCATTATAAATTCATTCATTCATTCAATTTTTATAGCACCCCACTTAACCAAGTGACTCTGGATGGCTTACAATTCTAAAACAACTTAAAACATATAAACAATAACATATAAAACAATAAACATACTCACAAAATAAATTAGTTCAAATAGCAGCTAGGATGATTAATCAACTAACAGTAAAACCAAGTAACAGGGCCCTTAAACACATTTGGCATTCCAGGCCCAGGTACATAGACAACTTTTTAAAGCTTTGCGAAAAGCCAACAGGGTTGGAGTCATTCTAATCTCTGAAGGGAGATACAGCAGAAAAAGTCCACCAGCTGTATCTCTGAAATATCTGCCAAAAAGACTCACCAACTGTATCTCTGAAACAATGTTATCAGCTACTATGTTTTATAGGTGAAAGGAAATTTGAACCCAAATCTCATTGTTCTAAGCTTGGTTATCTGAGCTGTATACTGAAGCATTATATACTCATAATTGACTCGTAAATAGGCTATGAACTGAGTAGCCCAAGAAAAACATTTTGCACCAGGAAAGACTGATTGCTTTAGATAGGCTTTACAAGGATGACACCTCTTATACCTCAGCTGGCTGAAGAATTCTGGGAGTTGTAGTCCACAAGTCATAAAAGGGCCAAGTTTGAAGACCCTTGTGTTATTCAAACCAGTTATAGGACATGGCCAGAATTTGGTCAACATGGTAAGATAAGGACTATATATGGTCCTATTCTGATTCAAACAGGAAATTACTTGATAGGATGAATTGTACTATATATTACAATGATTTTGCAAATTGATCCCCCAAATCAAAATTAATGTAATTTCTATTTGAATGTTCATTTGGCCAAGAGGGGTCTTTTTCTGTACAGGTAAAGGCTGCACTTCATATATGAAGGTAAAAAGGGACTTCAGGGTACATGTGTAACACCTGTCACAACTCCTGGAACTAAACTCATCTTCTGGCATTGCTGTGCAGCTGCTTGGTCCTGGGAAAAGATGTAACCATTTCAAGGACTTTCAGATAGGTGCAAAAGTCCTGTTAATTAGTTGATTGGACTTTACAAATCACACTCACAGTTTTTCCCCATGTATGCACGCACACTCCATACATAAAAGAAAGGAAAATATGCCTTTTCAAAAAACATGCAAAATCATTATGATGATCATGCTCACAAACTATTTAGCATAACTGAGAAGGCTGTTGTCTCCAACTAACCTGAGAATTCGTAAAGTCAAAATATTGTTTGCATTTAAATGGGGGCTGAGGGGAGCCTAATTAGAAAGCTTTTAGAATTACATTTTGCCAGTCAGTTTTAGCTTATTGTAAGAACACCTTAATTATCGTGTGAAGATGCCTAAAAACCAAAGCGATAATAATTTGATTGCTATCAATGTTAATTACACCCAAATTATAGTCCTGAGTTGTGAGAAGGAAGATTTTCTGTATCTCCTTATGGTAGTTCACTGATATATTCCTCATATAGTCTACAGTTATGCATAATTAAGATTCACTTAAACAGGAAAAATTAATAACACTATGATCGTTATTATCTAGTAATTCTACTCACCTTTTCAAAGCAATTCAATACAAACTTGAAAGGAAGATGGGTATGGGTATACAGTATTTCTAGTTCCATGTTACAAACATGGAACGAACATTTTAAGGTTTTCTTTGCTTCCCCCCCCCTAAACTTGGAAAAATTGACATTAGGGATTTTTCTGAGTGAATAAGGGAATGGATAACAGAAAGAATAAAGTTTTTTCTTGGTTAATGTATTGGATTACATGCAGGAAGAATTAGATTCAAGTCCAGTTTGAACCATCAAGGCTGATTACGTAACACTACTAATAATTGTGTAATACTAATAAGTAACTTTACTTGGAACAGCTTGCATCCTGAGACAATACCTTTACATCATCAACATCTGCCTATCCCAGGGTCCTTGGGACAAATTTGGTAGTGTCAGGCTTGAATAAAACGCCAAATCCACTCTGAACATCTGGCTGACTATGTGACCAACATAACAGCAATAATAGTGCTTTTTTTTTTTTGCTAAACTTCAAAACAATTTTAGCATGTTTTAGCTTACTCAGAAGAAACATGTAGCATTATAAGATTCAGAGGGCTGATTTAATCTGAAAACCTTACAGTGGTTATATGGTGCCTTGCTATTTTTTGTCAGGACACATGTTTGACATAAACTTAAATAAGTAGGCACTTGTACTGCTAACTTCTTTTAAGACACCTATCTTTACTTTCATCTAATGTTACAGTACTAAAAACAGCTATGAAGGGACCTGCTGTTTGGATACAGGTTTATGGAAGTTTGCTTGAAGGTCTCCTTGGTGCTATGCACAACACTCCCGGAATGTACTATGACTTGCCAAATGCTTCATAATGCTTCTGTTGTCTTGCCTGGTCAAATGTATGGTAAAGTATGATACGGGGCCTTTATGCTGTTCAGTTCCAGAATAAGGCTATATAAGTAAACTTTGGATTTATTTAATTGGACTGGAATATATTAACTTGTATATTATTATACATTATGCTCATTTTTACATTAATCAATATAACATTAAAAATAGGATGTGGTTCTATGTTAAGTATCTGAATTCCTAAAAACCATTTGGCTCCACGGAAAACCCAAAAACGTTGGAACAGTTTCACAGACTTCCTTGCATAAGCCAGAGGCTAGCTCCCTCTATTACTAATTCTCAGAAAACATTTGTTTGCACATAAAAAGTCTAGAGAATATGAGAAAACGCCTACTGATTCTGTGGGCCAAAATGGGCAGATAAGAAAAAATAATTTATCTCTAAGAGACTAAAACCTTGACACTGCTCAGAACTTAATCCCCTTTTAATGAGTTTGAAATGCAAGCAATAATATTCTAATGAATAAAATGCAGTAATTTTCTAACAAGCCGTCAGATACTGCCCAAAAAAACCCCACATGTGGTTCAGAAAAGCTTTGCCAGCTTGTATTCTATTGCTACAGGCAGATAATTGTTTGTAAAAGTTTTAAGATCATATGGCACTATCAGGTTTGGTCTATTGTTTCTATTCAAACAGGGGCTGTATGTTTTTGAAGCACTTTAAAGCCCTAAAATTGCTGTGGTAAGGTGCCAGACTAAAGAGGATTTTTTAAAAAGCTATTTTCTTTTGCCTTTAAAGATGTATATGACTTGTTTTTATTGTTCTGTAGAGTCCTTGTTGTTCTCCAAACTTGATTGTTTGCTTGCACACATTTCATTACCCCAGTAGAGAACATCATTATGAAAGCACCAAGGACTACATAGTTAACACTGAATTACAGATATTCTCTTCTACTTTACAGTTTTATCAAATGTTTCCTTACTGTATTTAAAACAGACGCAGAAGTCATACCATTATCCATTAAGTAACACACCCTGACCACTGTGTTAACTGAGAGACACAATGTAAACAGTGTATTATAACAGCGTATTACCATTATTACCAGTGGTGCAATAGTAATAGCAATAGAACAACAATAATTTTTGTTCTATAAAAGGCATTGCCAATGTCATTTGGAGTCACATGGATTTGCAAGCAATGCGCAACAATTCAGTTTTAGGAAGACTTTATGGATATATTTACTAAACCATTATGTAAACCCACTGAGAAAAATCCACTCAATAGACAACCTACAAGTAAAGACTGAGATATCAATAATGGTATGCTTAATGATGGAGATTATAACTGCACCATAGATTCCAACTACAAAAGAGTTGGAGCTGTACCTGTCAGTGCAGAAACCCTGCTGTGAATTAGTTGAACTCACATGAATGAATAAGATTGTGTGTATGAATAGAGAAAGCAGCAATGCTGGATCATTTGTGTTGCAAATTCTCAGTGCAAACACTGCAGACAAAGTTATCTAACTAAGCAATACAACAGCAAGCATTGCATTAACAACCCCGGAGGTTCTTTTATCATTATAAAGTATTTACAAAGAGGCATTTATATGTTTTGTTCCTCTGGGGAACTGGCACTTTGCATCAAAAATACATGAACCAGCAATTAAATTTTTGAGCACCTTATGGCCTTTTAATAATGCAAATATTGTGGAATCCAGATTACACTGCAGGTAGACAAAAGAATAAGGCATTCTGGGAAAAGAATTCACTTATAGTGTGAGTGAAAGGATGATGAAAAGGGCATTGTTACATTTTAATCTGTATTTTTTTTGTCTTACTCATCTCCATCTTTTGTTATAAAAGATATTAATGGACATTTGTAAGTAATCAAAAGTAAAGTCCACAAGTAAATATTAAAGCAATAATGGTAAGGATAACAACAACAACAACAGCAGCAGCACCATCAAACATCCAACAAACATGGAACTGCCCATATACTCAGACACTACCTTAACAGCTCTTAGGTCCTTTGTTGGGACTTGAACTGTTAAGTTTTTACCAGTCCCAGACTGTGAATCAAACCAAAGATTAAATCTTAAGTAATAACAGCAGCAATGGCAAGAAAAGGAGAAGGAAGGAGAAACCATGATAATATCAAAAATGAAAATTACTTTAAGGGCATCTTGGGTGTCATCCAGACAGTAGACACGAATGTTGTATTCCAAGGATGAGCAGATCAGTGGCCCAAATATGGCCAGCTTCAGACGTTTTGTGGCTGCTTTGGTGACTGACTGCCCTACTAAGGCATAGGTGCTAAGAGTTTCTGTGAGGATATGGCACGCCTCTGGATCCAACTGGATATAACATGGAGTAGTGAAGTTTTCTTCTCCAACTGCTACTACATCCTGAAAAGATAAAAGACAATATAATAAGAACAATTTAATGGCTTGGAAAATGTTGACAACACTGCTTCTGTGCATACCATTTATGGAGTAAAATTGTTTTTCCAGTTATAATACCATGGAGACATGTAAAATATTTGGAGAAATCTGAGAAAAACTGATACCAAGCAAAGTATTTCAGGAACTAGAATTCAAATAAATCAGGGATATACAGTAGCTTTCAAAATACTTGCTCACTTATTTACTGTATATTTGACTATTATTTATATAAAATGTTTTCCTAATATTTCAAGTATGGGTGGCCCCAACTTATTTTGATTTTCAGAAGCAAATTAAATTACTGTATGTTTCAAGCAGTTAACATTTTTCCATGCAAAGGATTCAAATCCAAAGCTGCTGGGTTTTTTTTTTTTTTTTGCGTTTAATGAGACTATAAGAAGAGAGACGTGAACCACACCTTGGCTACAAGACAGTCCATATAACATGGGAATCCTGGATAATCCTGATTAAAAAAAAATTAAAGAGAACGAAAGAAGAAGGCTCTTGTTTTATTAATGAAAGAAAATGCCTCCTGGAATTTTTAATTAATTATCCCATCTGTATTATTTTTTATAAATAATGCAAGATGGTGAACATATTTAATAGTCTTTCCTCCTCTTTTCCTCACAACAGCCATCTTGTGAAGTGAGTCAAGTTGAGAGAGAGTGACTGGCCCAAATTTACTCAACTAGCTTTCATACTTAAGTTAGGAATGTCAAGAGTGCCACTGAAAGCACTGTGAAATAATAATAATAATAATAATAAATCTATTTATTCAAGTAATTATAGTCATTGGATCATTGCATTTTATTACCACAAAATGCACATGATCCAAAGATGCAATATTATGTGGAGAAAAAAATAGGAGCTTGGATCACTTTCCCACAATTTTTAAGCCGTATTCCAATTAGATTAATCCATCAGACTCAAGAGATGCAAAAGCACTTGTGTCAGTGGTTTTGGAAGCCACCAGTTAATCTGAGGGACTGAAAAGGGGGAAATTGACAACTTGTAACAATGGATACAGAGGTCTAATGTTAAATCCTCTCATCCTCACAATGACTCAGGTTATTTAGACAAGCACTTGGTATATATTGGAGACAGACATGGTTAAAAACGGGCAAGTGGAGAAGATTGAAGTGGGATCTAACTTTGCTGGGATCGTGTATGAGAAGAGAAATGGAGGGAAGAGTTAAATGCATCATCAGTTTAGAATCTTTGTGTTGCCACAAGAGATCCAAGTACACCCCCCCCCAAATTCTATTGACCTTTATTTAATGCCAATTTATTGTTGATTTCTAACATATTGCTGACTTCTCTGATGATGACATAACAGATCAAGGAGATGAAAACTTTATCATGATCACTAATGCTTTAGGAATGTCTAGACCCAGCCAGATCAATCACAAAAGAGGCACTCTCTTTTCCATAACTGAAAACAAAATATCCCTATGTCAAAAGAAGACAACACTGGCAACAGCAAAATGCACTTATGAAAATGTGCTTTCATTGCCCAAACTCTACAGTTAGCTAGGAGACTGAGGTAGCCAGAAAGCATTAAAAACAGTCCATTTGAAAATATCTTCATATTCCTGATTGTCTTCTATAGAAGAGGAGTATAAAAGAGGACAAACAGAAGGAACAAATATCTAGTTAAACTAAGGAGAAAATATACAAAAGAAAGAAAGGAATAAGATATGGTGTCAGAAGCTTGTTCAAGATTGCATGCTCACATGTACAACAAGAGATTGTACCAAAATAATGAGTACAGATAACCCAATTCCGACTACAGCAGCAAAAGTTTTCTGGGGTTTGATGTTGGTTAACCTGAAAATAAAATGTGGATCCTTATTTTTATATATTTAATTTGTGATATTTGTGATATTCTTTCATAGCAAAGTGTTCTGAATGGTTTACAAGAATATTCAATAATGAAATCAAAGGTGTAGAAAATAATGAAACATCATATTCAGGATAAAAGTTAATAGCATAGGAAAACATCAAAGGGAAAACGTGATATGAATCTTAATTTGATCAAAGAAAAAATAAACAGAAAAGAGTCTACTAAACAGAGTTCCCTGGACAGGATGACAGTACTATGAAATCTCTAAATGTAACTTCCATACATCTTACTTTAGCTAGTAAAAGTATTGCACAAGATCATTGCTCAATACAAATGGAAAAATGACCACCATTTCTTAATTGGGGCCAGAAACTGATAATCAATGCAAGCAGGAAGCATTAGATATTCTTAAATACAAGGTCTTCCAAGATAAGTATAATGCATATCTTATCACAGAACTACAGTGTTTGAAAAAGCTTTTAGGTATTCCCTACTGTCAAATCCCTATAAATATATATACAAGAAGCAAGAAATAAAGAACCTATCATAAAAATATACCTGACAAGATTAGATCACTTGTCAAGATATCACTCAGTCAACAAATGTGCAGTTTATGTATGTTGAGTGTATATGCACTCATACTTTAGTTTATTTCCTGTTTTCTATATGTACAGTGCTCAAGATAGCTAATATTAAAAAATAACATGGAAATACAAGATAAAACAGCAAATCCACATATAGTAATATCATTCATATTCAAAGGGGTATCTAGAAAGTTCTTATGTGAAGCAAAGAATAGCTGTTCTAGTGATAATTAAGGTTCTCAATTTTGTAAATTTAGGTTTTTGAGAGTGAATAAAACAAGTTGTTTATTTTACAAGTCCATTGCTTTATATTCTGAACATTAATGGAAAATTCCACATAGCAAATATTTCAATATAAAATCAGCATATCAAAGCCTAGAGGTGATTTTAGAACTGAAGTATCTGTTTTATTCAGTTGCTATTGCTATACAACTAGCAAACAATTCAAATTATGATGTCAAGTACATTTTACAAAAAGTAATTTTACAAAAAAAGATGAGAATTTCAACAGAACTGCAACACCTATGTTTTCTCAAAGATGACAGCGAAACAATGCTGACTACTTTAGTGAAGGTACAGATTTATTAGCAGGTGCCTGCTGCAAAGCAACGTATTACCCTTTCCTATAAAAACGTGTTTGGACATATTTCCAACCATTTAGCACCACTGAGTAGATAAAGTAGGTCACTTTCTACCAGAGTTATTAATACTATACCACTGGAATGGAGAAGTTTTTCTTAAACAAAATCCCATCATATCTTATCTTTTTTTTCCAGTGACTTTCAACTGTAAAGTTAATCTTAGATTATAAAAAAGATAAAAACATTTCAAGTAACCATAAATTATAGCAGTTAAATTAAGATGGAAATGTATGAATTAGATATGCCTCTTTTACATCTGTATATTGATAGATAAAGTCTAAAGAAGAACTGTTTTAATACTTGATTGAATATGATTATTGTGTTTTGTTTGATCAGGTTTTATATCTTGGACTATACAAAATTTTCAAGTTCATAAAAGGCCGTAGGATTCATATGAATATAATTACATTCCTTTTCAGTCTTTCCACATCAAGATGGGAGAATCAAACATATATGTAGTATAACTAGCTACATCCCATTTCTCCTTCATGCTTTTAAGAATGTATGAATTACAAAAAAAAAGCTTAAATTGATCCCAGGTGTTCCAGAAAAAAGAAAAGAAATATTCTTTTTTTTTAAAAAAAATTTCCCTAACATACCAAACAATTTCAGTATCAGGAATAACACAATATACTATCTACTATTACTCAGAATTTATAGCTCTTCCCTTAATTTACAACTCAGAACGCTCCATGGAAATTGCAGTCCCAACACCAAGTTGGGAAATGTGAATGAAATGATTAAAAAAATGGCAATGATACATACAGCTCATGAAAAATATATATTTAATGGCTATTCAATCAGACAATGTGAGCCATGCAGGTGAAGGGCAATCATCTCACCTCCCATTGTCCCTGGGCTGCTTGGTTCTTCAACTGAATTTTCCAGTCTTCGGTGTTTGGTTCTGCACAGTGGTGCATCGTTAAAATGATAGGCCGAGTTAGTAATGCTCCTGGAGGCCCACAATTTACTACAGGGGTCAAAAGGGTTTGACAATCTTCTATTGGTGGCCTGAATGGATTATAAAGGAAGAAGGGGGGGGGAAACCATTTGGTATCATTGAAACTGATTCATTTTAAAACCTGTTATTATTTATCCATGAATTGATATCACAGTGAAGCTTGGCATTATTTATTATTTAAATTATAATATAAACTATTTATGCCTAAAATTACTGCAAAAGAACAAGGAAGGAAAGCAGAGGGAATATAACTCTCAAACAATGGCAGGCAGTATCTACAGTATGATAAATATTGGGAAAACATCAAATGAAAAGTAAGCTACTGTCAGTCTGAATATGTTCTATAGTAGATTTGCAATAGAACTTCCACTGTATTTTATTTATTTATTCTTGAAAATGACATTGCTTCCACCACATAGATACTAGGATTCGTGTAACATCTTGTTCACTGAGGATTTCATCAAGTCATCATAACTTTTTTAGTTATTTTTTTTCCTTTATTTCAACACATTCACTCTTCCTTATACATTAATTTTCAATTTGACCATTATTTTTTTGTCTCTATAGATGGCCAAACTTCTCAAATTATTACTGGTCACCAACTCTGTATCAATCTAGAATTATTATTATTAATTTACAAACCACCTATTATCTTTCCAATAGTATTTGTCCATCTTAGAAGGTCTTCTTTTATTTTCCCATACTTAGTAAACATTTTACAAGCAATATCAATACATCCACTTGCTCTAATTTCTCCCCATTTCTATAATGTGTACACACTCACACACATGTAACTATAAAATCATTTCATTTTCTATCAGACACAACTATGCTTGTTCTTTGACACATAAATTTTCAGATTCACACTCTTTGCTATAACTTAGTATCTATCTTACATTCATTGGAAATCATTCAGATTGTCAACCAACAAAACAATAAAAGCTGAGTGCAAAAGTACATGTACATTTACATCTGCAACCAACACTCCTCTAATGTCACCAGTACAATTGCTTATACATTGAACCATAAATATATCATAAAGTAAGGAGACATGACACATCCTTGTCTAACTCCTTCTTTGTGCTGAACCATTTCTTAAGCATTTTCATTCTTAGCTAGACTTTGCATTTAGCAGCCAAAATTTTAAACTCATATTCATGCAAAAAATTCCATACTCTGGGCCTTATCATTTTATCATACATATAATATCTTCTTTCATCAACTTTCTATTCATTCTTCTAGATTAATCTGCCTAATAATACAGATTTATATTTTTGCTTCCTAAAACACTTTATGCAGATTCCTATAAATTCTTCATACAAAAATTCACCCTAGCAATAATACAAATATTTTCCTAATTGAAACCCTCAGTTTGAGCCAGAAACAGTATTATGAAGCTATCACTAATTATAAAACTCAATCTAATGCTCATCCTCATGCTAAAATTATGCAGAGGCATACTGCTTGATTACTCAGTTAATCGCTCATGCTGCCAGTAGGGGTAGCTAACCAAAATAGGAAATCTGCCTGCAGTTTGTTTAGCATTATATGTAACCTGTGACGCCTTGTTTGCCACTCTACACAAGCCAGAAATAAGAAGTCAGGGATGATGGGAGGAGGGCAGAATCAAAGTAGAATTCAGCTTCTTAGAGAATAATCCAAAATCACTAATTTGAACGTAGGTCTTGGTAGGAGGATTCAAGTAGAAACAATTAGTTAATATCGAGCTGGGAGATTTCTGCTAATGCAGGTCTTTGTGACAGTCTTCTGTATAGCACTCTATAAAGGCATATTTTGATTGACGGACTGACTGATTGATCTGTATGCTGCAGAACCCATAAAAAGTCACTGTGGCATAGGAATGACAACTGGAGCTACAGTGCTGCTCAGATATATTTTATAGTCTTATTCAGATATATTTATAACTCTTCCCTCCTTTCCCCCAGCTAACACTAACTCAAATGATGTTAACTGCTGAAAAGACTTGTGTATTTGATACAAATACACACAAGAGAAAAACTACATAGACATTTTCATTAGGAAAAACTCTGACCATGCGGTGTTCTGGCTCATGTGGTAGCCAATGTATGTACTGAGATACCCCCAACAATTTTACTCTTGCAGACAGTTCTGCTCTACAAATGCCCGTATCATTCAAACAACATTGCCTGAGGATTCTTGGGAATTTCATATGGTAAATATTCCAAATACTGAATGGAGTTCACAAATCTGACTGAGATCTGTCTCTCTGTCTCTGTCTGTCTGTCTCTCTCTCTCTCAGTGGCACTGTAGTTCTAGTTGTGTGTGTGTGTGTGTGTGTGTGTGTGTGTGTGTGTGTGTGAGAGAGAGAGAGAGAGAGAGAGAGAGAGAGAGAGAGAGAGAGAGAGAGAGAGAAAGATAAAAGAGCCGAGGTGGCGCAGCAGTTAGAGTGCAGTACTGCAGGCCACTTTAGCTGACTGTGTTCAGCAGGTCAGCGGTTCAAATCTCACCGGCTCAAGGTTGACTCAGCCTTCCATCCTTCCGAGGTAGGTAAAATGAGGACCCAGATTGTTGGGGGCAATGTAAATATATATATATATACATTGCTTACTGGTGTACACTGCTTAGAGAGTGCTTGCACTTAAAGCGGTATATAAGTCTCATAAATATATAAATAAATAAATAAAAAGAGAGATAAAGAGAGAAAGATAAAGAGAGAGAAGAGAGAAAAGGGAAATGAACTTAATTCATAAACATATTTAGTTATAATGAGCCATTATATATTGTTGTTTCTGTATAGAGAATTATCTATTACCAGACACAGAACACAGTATAACTAAGTAAGCCATTTAAATATTGCAATGCTGTTGATACATTAGTCATATTTTGCAACAGAAATTTAAGAAGAATCAAAACAGTAGATTGTCTGAGAAGAAAAATGTAAAATATTTTCTGTTATTCTAGGCTAGTTCTTGTTTGCAGGCTAAAATCTAGGATTATGTTACAAATGCAGTTAGTATCAGGAAATGTCACAAGTGGATCTTCATTATAATTGAAAAGTGTATTAAAATATTCATAAACCTTTATTACTGTATCTCTCCAATATTTTTAATGACCCCTATTTCCAGAGACTAATGACTTAGGTTATTCATACCACCAAGTTTCTGGTGGTGTTTCATTAGAATGCAATGCAATGAAAATACTTTAAGAAATAACAGCTGTGAACTCAAGCAATGACATTTTTTCTTTTGAGCATAAACCAAAATAAGTTTTTAATGGGCAGGGAACAGTTTGCTGTTCTGCTGATGGTTCCTCAGAAATATGTGGTGAATGTCATGTACAACTTAAGATGACATTCACTTATGTACTACAATTACCCATGTTACATCTCTTAAAACTTGGTACAAATCTTTTTTTTTCCTATGTATTTATCCTAGAGGGCATCATTACTATATTAAGCATTCATCTAGAAAATCAAACTTGATAAACAGTTATTAGGACTTCACCCAAGGAACCTGGTGTCTGTAGTTATGATTTCTGAGAATGTCATTAATGATTCTGTCTAATCTAAATTACAATATTGGGTTCTCCTCAGGGAAAGCCATGCTGGCAATTAGTAAGCTTGCATAAGTTTATAGTATATATAATTGTGAGTGACATACAGATTTCATTATTTCAACTGTGTCCTCTTTGTTATTGGGCCAATTATTTAGTTTGCTGGAATAAAATACTATACTTTGATTAACACAGAATTTAAAGGAAAAAAAATAATATAGTGAAAGAATTGAGATGAATAACCACAGGAGCAGATGGTTATCCTTCTAGACATGTTGGATATTTTACAAATTTAAAACTTTTGGGTATTTCACTGAAGTTTTACTTCATGTATATATTTATATAAATGTATTGTCTTCTCCAAATTGGCATTATCAAAAAGTGTTTTGGGCAGCCTTTGCCAATCCTATATTTGCACTTCTTTCTTTTGCTCAGAAATGCCATATGCTAGAATCAGTACTTTTTAATTTTTATTATTTTTTTTCTTATAACAAATATTCTGCTGAAAGAACAATGCCAGATTATGTAGGTGGCAAAAAAATGCATCACTATTCAATCATAGCAAAATCAATATCACATAAGAACTAAAAAAAAAGAAATGTGAAGATATTATAATAGAAACTGTTTTTATGTGTCTTGATAATTAGAGAAAAACTTTGTTTATCTGATATTAGTCATCTACTTGACACTTCCATAAATTGACACTCAACAAAATTTTGGCCAAGAAAATGCATATATATTATTATTATTGTCCATAACACAATAAAAGCTTTTTGGATCCATCTATTGCCAAAAATGCATTCAGAAAACACATAAACCTAAATTTATTTCTAATATTCTTTCAGAAAAATTATTATACTTATATGAGATAGGGTGAGATAGCAGAAACGTCATACTGAACTTGCAAAATTATCCTCGTCTCAAAACTATTTTTTGAAAACGGCAAAACAGGATTATGTAGTGTCAGGGAAAAACATGTACATTACACAAAAAAATGTAAATACATTTTGCAATCCAGTCCTGAAGATTTAGCATAATGAGCCATTACATGTTGTTTCCACATTGAAACATGTTCTTTATCAGATTGTGCATTGTCAAACTCTGAACCATCAATGTTTTTTGAGAGTGTTATCCCTTGTCTTTCCCTAAGTTTCTTTTTTAAAAAATTCCCCAACCTAGCTAATGCCCCTAAGTTTATATGTCATTGCCTTCTACTAAGGAAATAGAATTTGTCATTAAGAGTAATAGCCTAATTTCCTATGAATCTGTGTAGTTCCTTTTAAAACCTAAATTCATTATCATCACACCATATGGCAGTAAATTCCATAATTAACTATATTTTTGTTGTTTATATTTATATTACTACATTTATATGACCTCCCATCTTGCATAAGTGACCCATTTAAAACATCAGTACAATACAGTAACTCAAAATAAAAAAGAAAAATGAACAATACAAGAACAAGAACAAGACAAAAAAAGAACAAAACAAAAACCTATGTGTTATAACACCACTTTTTATTTTTATTTTCTGAATAAACTGTAAAAAAAAATTAAGACAAAGAACCTGTTCTGTTATTCCTGAATTATTCTGCACTTAGTTTCCCAAATACCTCTTAACCACTCAAGCTGTGCAATTAACTGTCTAGAATCACACTGTGAGCGAGAGCAGTGTTGCCTAAATTTGACAAATAATAATAATAAAAAAACAGAGTGCAAGATTTCATCACTTGCTCCTGGCTCATACCATAGAGAAGAGACCTTATTTCCTCAGCAAGCCTTCTCAGTTTGTTTGCAAACCATTTTATGGCCTCAGCATCTTTTTTAGGTTAGTCCAGGGGTAGTCAACCTTGGCTCTTTTATGACTCCTGGCTCAGGAATTCTGGGAGTTGAAGTCCACGAGTCATAAAAGAGCCAAGGTTGACTACCCCTGGATTAGTCTAAGCAGATATGCTGATCAGAAGGTTACATTAGCACAAGCTGTCTCCTCCCTTCAACTAGACACTCAAGCAAATGCGAGCAGCAGAATCTCTTTTACCTCATGTTCTCCTTTCGGTGAACCGTCACATACATTTCATAAACTCTCCCCTGAGGAATCGCCCCCGCAGGAATCAGCAAACTTACTCCTATAAAACAAGATGACAAAAAAAGTTGAAGAAAATAAAAGAGAAGGGGGAGACAGTCTGACCTTTTGAATAATATGCTTTTTGGAGATTGACAGAATTTTACCCAGACTCTTGAAAATGAAATAGGATTTTTACAGCCCTCTTAATAGATGTGGTTTTCTGACTTGTTGGTGCCACGGTGTTTGCCTTCTGCATTCTAGGAGTCTGAAACTGTTTTTGTTTTATTTAAGAAATGAGCAGATGGTTGCACTGCTGTTTAGATGGTAAAAATGAGGGGAAAAAAGCCAAGAGTTGCATTTACTATTCCAAACAGTAGTAATGGGATCATTGTTCTTGGCAATTCTTATTTAATGAAACTCGGAAAAAAAGGGCAACAAAACATTGCTCATGAAACAACAGGAGTCTCTTTCATGTTCCTGAGGATATCAGCTTTATCTGGTCATTATACACTATTTAGATGAACTAATGTAAATCTGGCTACAGAATGGGGAATATTCGCTCCATTTTTGTATTGCCAGCTGCTTGGGATATTTATTGGATTACAATGTATAATACAGCCCATAAAAGTATGCTGTCAAAATGCAATTAAATTGTAATCATTTAAGATTCAGCAGCTGCAAAATTAAATGTATTGTTAAAATCTCTCTAGGTCTACAATCCCTACCCAGATCCTCTCCTCTCAGAGGAAGCCTTTAGGCAGGGGTGGTAGGGATGTTAAAAATTCCAAAAGTGCTTTTCAAAAGGCCACTGGATTTTGTTTTTCCTTGAAGATGTTTTGCTTCTCATCCAATTTCAGTTCTTTCAGTTTTTGGAACAGAAGAAGCTTCTTGGATGAGAAGTGAAACATCTTCAAGGAAAAACAAAGTGCAGTTGCCTTTTGAAAAAGCAGCTTTGGGACAACCATGACCTGGATGACCGAGAATAGACATTTAGGGATACTAAAGTTTCCACTGGTGAACATTCTTAATGGTTCAGGAAGCAATTGATAATCTTCCATTTCAGATATTATAAAAGGTAAGACGAGTGTCTGTACTATGAGAAGAGAATGTTGCATTATCCCCTTGTCCCTTATGAGAATGTTTGCAAGCTTCAAGACAGAGAGATAAACAGGCAGAGAGTTTGCTAGTGCTAATTAGATGCTGTCCTCATGACCATCCCGATTCTGACTTCCTCAACATCACCCCTGGCCTGCTGGTCTTGCCCTGCTATGTTTTGTATATACAGACTATTATATAGTCTCAGCAGCTAAATAAGCAAATTAATTAACAGTGATTACAACACATTGAATATTCCCCACCTTCTCATTCTAAAACCTTTCCTGTATGGTAAGTTCCCCAGTGCTTCCCAAAGTCTGGCAAGAACTTCAGTCCAACTTCAATCCAACTAAAAGCCATGGTGATACAGTGGTCAGAATGGAGTATTGCAGGCTAACTCTACTCACATTGCCAGGAGTTCGATTCCTTCGATCCTGACCCGCTCAAAGTTGACTCAGCATTCCATCCTCCTGAGGTCAGTAAAATGAGGACCCAGATTGTTGGGGTCAATATGCTGACTCTGTAAACCGCTTAGAGAGTGCTATAAAGCACTGTGAAATGGTATATAAGTCTAAGTGCAATTGCTACATTGTTCTGTGTCATATCATCTCTTCTTATGAGACAGAACTTACACATAAATAAGTTGATTGGAATACCTGCAAATGGTCATTATAATTATGGAAGAAATAATGGATTTTCTTCTTTGTTATTGTTTTTTTTTCTATTTGACCACCAAAGAGCTCATTTTTCTTTAAAATATAAATAAATAAATTCTGAGGTTTCAAATGCAGAGAGAAAGGACTATTGTATTGTAAACATCTGCCTTCTTACTGAGCTGGAGGAAACAAATATATTTGGAACTGATTTCTTTTTTATAATTTCTTTTTTTTTATGTCAAGTGACAACAGAATCCTTTTTGCCTTGAACTTCAAAGTTTTCTCCCTCTTCACTTCTTTAATTGTGATACATGAAAGAAAAAAAGCAAAGGGCTGAGCATCCTACATCAAATAGGTTGACAGTAAAAGGTCTCTGTCTGATGGCAATGACTCAGAGTTTTGCATTTTTCTCCTTCAGAAGACCAAAGTTCCTGAGAAGAATATGTATAATAGCCAAGTAAAATCAAATGGGAGAAAAATATTTCTCTGATTTAAATGTAGAATATAACTTTGTATAATGATCCAAACCTTTGCTAGAGGGGGGGGGGAAACCTCCAATAACTCTGGAAATATCTGAGAAATGTTATTTAAAAGCAAATGACTGTAAATAATAATTTACCTGAATTCGGTACAATCAGATGACCTCCAAGAGAATTGAAGGTCCCAAAAGCAGTGCACGATGGATCTGTTTGCCGTGCAAGGCTCTGGTTTTTAATGTTTAATGCTTCATTATCCAGTAGGGATTGAGTAATCTGTGGAGAGAGTTTGGATGAGAAATCGGACAGCTCATCCTGGGGTGTGACTGCACCAGAATTATTGTAAACTTTGATCTTCAAGTTGGGCAGTGGATCCAGAATTGGAGAGTTGGTCATTGGAATTTTATCAGAGACGTCATGCAAGGCATAAACCGGGCCCCTATACATAGCTGCTGCAGAAGTAAGGTCAGGAGGTACAGCTAGGAGATCTGTTTTAAAGAAGAAAAAAATGTAATATTAAAATCAAGAAGCCATGGCCTTAAAAACAGCATTCCCAATAGGCTTTCTCTGGATTTGATATGAATATAACCCTCAGAAGGTTCCATATTCAACTTGGCCTCTAGGGCAACTTTGAACATATTTTGTTAAAAAAAAATATGATCATAAACCACAGATAAAAAGTAATTTATATTAGTCATGAAATTCATTGACTGAGTATAGGGTTGGGCTGTAGAACTTAAAATCTGAAAATATTAACCTGCTGCATGCAGCTAAAATTATATGTAGAAATGTGTGCAGTCATACTAAGGAATTTCACATATGAAGATTCACTTTTACAGAATCTGATGTTTTTCCAGATGATTTCTGTGCATCATGCTTATGGGTAAAGAACATGGTTAAGTATTCCTAAGATAGGATGGAAGAAGCACAGCTGTAACAGAAGCACCTTAAATATTTGAACTACCTCTAATCAATAATTTCTCATAGATGCAGTACATCAACCTGCAGTTCTAGAGATGTCCCAACATATAACTTTTCCTGAAAGAGCAGTAGATTCCAAAAGCTTTGGCAGACTGACTTCTGATTTGCATAGGAGTTTATACCAACAAAGTGATCAACAAAATTGACAGAAATGTTGGAAAGAGTTAAGAAAGCTATGCCAGTGTCAGCATGGCAGAAAACAGATCTAGGACATTGCAAAGGCCTAAGATCTAGCTAATGAAAAAAAATCCCCAGGAGACTAATAGAGTTGGGAAAGGAGTCTTTGAAAAACAGAAAATACTTTGTAGAAGATTAATCAAACTGGAGGACAACCTTGTCAACCTTATACCTTACAATATAGGAAGCATCCTCTTCTAGTGCACAAATCTTACTAATTTGACAAACACAAATTATCACCTACATCAGACATGTCAAACTTGCAATGTCACGTGATGTCACGCAACATATTGGGAGTGTTCTGCCTTTGCTGGCAATGGGTCGGGCACAGCTTCCACGTGACGCATCCGGCCCGTGGGCCAGCAGTTTGACACACCTGACCTACATGGTAGAATACTTGGTGGCTTTCAGTTTGAGCATGCTTATATCTGCTGGCTAAAAAATACTACTACTGCTACATTCACTTGTATTTTAGAAGTGGGGTTTTCCTGAGAATGGATTCTAGAAGATTTCAAGAACTTGGGAAGCAAACTGTGATTAGAAAGGTTTTCCAACTAATGCAACCTAAGTGCAGTGAAGTTCAGGATCAAGTGCTCTCTTGTTTCTTTATATAAAGGACAAATGTTAGGTGTGTAGAAGTAGGTAGAACTGACGTTCTATGATATAAAGGTTCCTTTCTTCAGAAGTTCATAAAGCTGAAATCTGATGGGGCCCACAATGTATCCTTCCAGTCAGTCTATTTTGTTTATGTGGTTTAGATGCTATCTGAAGTGTTCTTGTAAGCTAGACTGCACTGATTTCCCTGCTAAGTAAAGGTCAGTCCTAGAAGAGATCAACCCCGACTGCTCTTTAGAAGGCCAGATCCTGAAGTTGAAACTCAAGTACTTTGGCCACCTAATGAGAAGGAAGGATTCACTGGAGAAGAGCCTAATGTTGGGAGAGATTGAGGGCAATAGAAGAAGGGGACGACAGAGAATGAGATGGCTGGATGGAGTCACTGAAGCAGTAGGTGTGAATTTAAATGGACTCCAGAAGATGGTAGAGGACAGGAAGACCTGGAGGAACATTGTCCATGGGGTCGCGACAGGTCGGACATGACTTCACAATTAACAACAACAACTGAGTATGGCAAAATAAAGAAAAGCTGCTGCCTCAAAACCATAGACACCAATTCTGGAGTGAAGGAACCCAGAAGGGAAGAAAATATAAAAGGGCATCTTACAGGCTATAGGTCAGTAAACATTTAATCATGGAATGGTCCAAACCCCAGGTTGACCATTCAAAGTATTCTGACCTTGAAAATAATGTTTCAAGATTGAAAAAAGCTCCAGACCTTGTGGAATGTCTCATTTTGAGGCTCAAGTACCTCGTTTACAGATAAGATTTTCCAAGACAAAAACAGTAATTTTTTGAAGGAAAGCAGAAGGATGTCAGGAAAAAGATTCTAGGTTATCTTCCTCCCCAAAATGTGTTTTTGTAGGCTATAAATTATTGAAAAGCATATGACTATCATGTCGTCTCCATTGTTTTGAAGATTTTAATCATATTGTTTCCTCCTATTGAAATGCACAATGAGCAGATTTGTTTTTGCATCTTGCATCTTCTAAAAGTTTCATTGGATGGACATGGGATGGACTTTCTCCACACAGAAGAAGGAAATGAGAAGTGGCAGCAGTGAAAATAGAATAAATTAGAAAAATTGGAATAAGTGAGAAAATTTTAAAAAATCTTTCTTCGTATTGTATTCTGTGCGAAATTCTGAAGAATTTGAATCAAAATTCAAAAAAATCACAATGTTTTGGATGTTTTGTAATTTTCTTATCCATTTGGCATTTCTTATTGTTCACGTACAGTATTTATTTTTTTCTTCTTCTACAGCATAGAAAAATGTAATCCTTGCATGGCTAAACTCCTATGAGTCCCGTTGATTTTCATGGAAAATCTTCTTGAAAACAAATCTTGAAAAATGGGCAACCACAGGTGTCTGATATAGTTCTCTAGTAAATGAACTGATTAGAAATAAATCTATAGGCCAAACTAATGGAAATTATCTTGGCATGGCAAGGTTAAATAGAAAAGGAAAAGGAAGCTGGAAGGGCCTGCATTTCGCCTCCCAAATTATTATTCTTTGAATCCTATATAGGATATATAATTGATGAAGAGTCCCTGATCAAAGAACTTACAATTTAGATTGGGTAAGATGCAAGGAAAGGTAATAAGTTTTTTTTTTTTTTAAAAAAAGGAGGATGAAGAAGAAGAAGGCCAAGTGACATTAGCCCTTATAGATTAAGTTTTCTAGATGAATTTATCTACAGGGCATTTAGTTGGAGAAATCGGCTTTATGGCATAACTCTAAATTTTGTTAATAGTGACTGGAAACGAACAGACAAACCTTGTCTTGCAGCTTTTGTTTAAATTTTGTTAATAGTGACTGGAAACAAACCTTGTCTTGCAGCTTTTATATTTACAGGCTGGAATCCGCCATTTAGTGCTGATGAATCTATAATATCTGACTCAAAGTCTCGATGGTTCTTCCGGTAGATGAATAATGCAACAGTTACCGAAATAGCCAAGCACACAATCACAGCTATCACAATGCCAACGTAGAGAGCGACATCATCCGAATCAGGAGCAGCTAGGAGGAAAAAAAAAAATTGGGACATAAAGGTAGAACATATTAATTGTCCCACATATTTCTATCAGCTCCTATAGGTATTTATTATAGTTCTGCAAGTTAATTTGAAATCAAATGCTCTGCCATATGATTTTGTAAGGAGGAAAAAATATTCAAAGCTTTAGTCATAACTGTTTGTAACTAGACTGTCAAGGCAAATTTAATCAAGAGAGCCATTTAGCACTCTTTTCAGTGCTAATTTATTCAGCAGGGCACCTGTTAATAAAAGAAGCTATTTTTCCTTTTAGCATACTGAAGCTTTACTTTTAAAACTAACCAAATCTTAAAAAAAATAAATGGGAAATGGTGACATGTCTGACAGACAATCTGCCTACTTCTTAAAGGAAAATGCTTTGAGGACAGAGCTCCATAATATGGAGACATAGAAGTAATTGTATGTTGGTACTTTTCAAATGTGCATGTGTATTTTATTAATTGGAGTCTCTGTGGATCAGTGTATGCATCTGTATCTATGTATCAATTGGGGTGGTTGCATATACTTTGCCTAAAGAAATTTTAAATATCTATATATTGTTGACAAGCTGTGGGGAATCTATTTTTTAAGTCCCAAATATGCAACTTTACTCTAAGACTATAGATGACTATTGAAACATTAGAAATGTGGAGGAAAATATCATACTGTCAGAAAATTCAAAACATGCTTCTAATACAGTACTGATTTCTTTTCTAAAAAAATATTTTCTATTTTTTCGTGATTTATAGTAAGCTTCAGATTTGAGAACATCACTGTTTTATGCACGCTGACAGAATGCAAGAAGTCTGCAATCTGTCAGAGCCTAAGGCAGCTGTCCAAATCAGATTTGTTCCTCCTGTTTCAAACATGGTCTGACATGAAAATCCAAACAGCCCCTGCTTTAGACAACTTTCAAGAACAAAACAACAATTAACAGCAACAGAACAAGCTGATACCTCAACATGCCTTGGATAGCTTGCTGGAATGTATTGAGATGAAGGATGAAATCAGAGCCAAAGCCATCTAACTCAATAATATTTAAGGCCCTGTATTTTTGCCGTAAGAATATTTTTCATGCATAATCAGTGACCGGTGATGTGTTCTTTGATTGCCTTGAAGCACTGTCACCATCTAAATGTCTTTAAAGTTAAGTTTAAATTTAAAGTATCAGGCACAATTCTTCTTTCTACCAGTCTTTTAAAATACAATTGACTTCTAATTTGTTTGTAAGCGTGTGTGTGTGTGTGTGTGTGTGTGTGTGTATCTGTACTCTTTGATGAACTCTTACTGTTCTGTTGTTTTCATTTTACAATTGTGATTTTATGAAGTTGCTGTCAGTTGGAGTTATTTTAGTTTGATTGTGAGCTCCCGTTCAAATTTTATGTTTGGTTTGATTTAATTTGGCTTGTATTGAAAGACCTGGTAGAACTTCAACAAGCATATAATTATTCATTAATTCATTAGGTAGATATTGTGTCTTTTCTCCCAGAGCTCAAGACAATGTCTATGGAATACCCCTTCATTTTATCCAACAAACTCCTATATCTAGGTTTGGGCTGAAAGCAAGTGACTGTCTCAAAGTCCCCAATTTTTCATGAATAAGGCTGGATTAAATCCCAGGTCTGTCTCATCTTATAGTCCAGCATCTTAACTACTACACGATATTGACTTTATTGTTTATATAGCACTTATATACAGTGCTATAAGATAGGCCAGTATGATGATGTCCACAACACTGGTGAAGTGAAGCTGAACGTAATCAACATCCACCTATTGTGTTCATAGTTTATTCTAAATATCTCAATATTTATTCTAAATATCTCAATATTTATCCTTTAAATTTTACAGTTTATTGATTTTTCACAATGCAGATGAGCAAACTGTAAAAACAATAATAGCAAGGTAGAATTTTCTATGGTTCTGTTGTGGGAATCGGACCAATTTTGGTGATCTTTTCTAACATATCTTTCTCACTAATCCCACTGTAATATCACCTGCCAACCCATTGCTTCCCTCAAGAAATCTTTCCAAAAAACATGCCTATGGGACATAAATATGATGCACTTTTTCATGAACAGAAAATATTTTACTTATTTTTAAATAGACCAATATGACAATATTTAAATATACTGATATGCTTAAATAGTAAGCCTTTGGATTCCTTATTCGCGTAGGCAATACCTTCTTAAAAGAAAAGATCATGTTCTAAAAATGCTTGGTTTTGGTTTTCTTTAACTCCTAAAAGCATAGGTGAACGCCAATAGATTATCAAGAGACATAAGGTTCAATGTATTCTGCTTAATGGAACTCAAAAAATGTATTTAAAAATGCTACTATTTTATTCTATTTTTCAGAAATGGCTTTCATGGAAAAAAAAGTGAAAGGAAAGTCATCAAGGGAACCATTTCCCCTCTTTAATCAAATTAAAATGTTGCAATTGTCCAATGCTTCGCTGGAATCTTGGTTTCTTTGATTTTTTTTTTTTTAACCTTCCTTTCTCAAATTTGTTCCCAAGTTTAAGACTCACTCTTAAACAAGCAAAACGTAACTCTGAAGAAGTTGAGCCTCTCTTCCCCAATGTATGTACAACCTCATGGAAAGTAACTCTTGGATCAGCTAATCAGAATCCAAGCACATTTTATCAAGCAACACTTACAAGAAAATCCATATTCATTCTGGGTTCTCTGTTCAGTTGAAATAGGGTAAATGAAACCTTTAAAAGAAAAAAAAAGATGGGAATAAAATCAAATTAACACAGGGAGCTTTTAAACACATACAATCACACATACCCACAATCACACACAAATGTTTTAATTTAAAAATAAAACAAAAGGAATGGAAAAGGAAAAGGGAAGGAAAGGAAAAGGAAACTCATGGCATTTCAAAATTCAGATTCAGCACACTATTATAACTTTGCATCTCCTGTCTGCTCAATACTCTTACTAAGAATTAATAAGTAGACAGATTGAATTTCAGAGCCAAAAATTGGTCTCGAGTCACTAACTTTGGAGTGCTTAAAGTCTTTCTTTTATTGAGCATAAACTCTAATGGATCTAATTTATTTCAGACATCAAGGATCATTAGCATATGGAAAGTCTTCCTCCCAATTCCTGCCATATGCTTTAATTCCCAGGATATATTCAGCAGGGCTCTAAATAGTTTTTTATTTAATTATAGAAGCTAGCTGCTGGTCTAATAGAACTGAAAGAGGCTTGCCTTCAATGGTCAAAGGTTAAATATCCATTTGCCAAGTGTTCAACCCATGGAAAAGCGTCATTCCTTCCACTCTTCCTTTTCCCCTAGATTTCAGGGGAATGGTTTTTAACCTTCCCTCTAATAGAAATCCAATTCTGTTCTCTGGGGAGCAAGCAATTTGCCAGAGAGTTGGAAAAGGCATGTGTTCCATTTGAGATCATTAGAAAATCAATAGGAACCTTGACATCATAAAGTAATTTATTTTAGATTTTTGAAGCTTTGTGTAATATTGACAAAACTATAACACAATTTTTTTTTCTACAAGAAACAAATAGAAAGAAAAGTGACTTTCTTCTGATTTTTAGTGATAATGCAGTTCTCAAGCAATCTATTTTTTTTTCCTTTGAGCAATTTGCTCTGAAGCTGTGTAGTAAAGGGGGAAAAAAGCTGTTGTTTTTTTTGGTCTATGCCAATGGAGAAACATTTAGCTGGAACCAAATTCCCACTGTGATGAGTGGAAATTGTACTTCTAAATAAGCATGTTCAGAACCAAGGAAACAGCTGGGAGGAAGTTGGCTTACTTACTTAAAAAAAAAGGAACCAAAATCCAAAGAAACCTGAAATGATGGAATTTTTTTTCATCTAAAATATTGGATTCCAGGCCCATCTCTCAGCAAGTAAATTTTGAAGACATTTTAAAATACCACGAGAATGAGTTTGAAAAACAGAAGCCACTTTGATAAGCCATAACACAAATTTCAATATAATATTACTTAGTATTTGATTAAAAAAGGTCTTTCCATCAATGTAGGCTACACTGCTATAGAGAAATGGCAATCAGTTTATCCACCTTGTTACAGAATCCTTACAGCATGGATCTATTATTTTCAAGGCCCACATGGATCAAAGTATGAAATTCAACAACTTTCACAGTTTCCATGCTTTAGCATGATTTTCAGTAAGGAAAGCACAATTTATAATGTTTTTACTTTCAAGTTTTCATTTTCTTTTGACCAAGTAGTGCAAGACCATTTTTGCAGTTATCCTTCACAAATTAGGAACATGATACACATTAAGCAAAGGAATTCCGCTGCATATGTAACTGCTGATGCTCAAAAATTGTTGTACAAGTAGCATTTGGAAACACAGGATATGCTTCTCCAATCTACCAACCTACACAGATATTTTTATATTTGTGGCTGCTTGCCCATAGATTTCAACATAAAACAATGACACATATTACGGTACCTTACATTAATAACAATAAGCTTCAAGAGAGGTATAAGCTTCTTTTTAAACCCCCCCTTTAAAAAAAGAAAAAGAAAAGAAAGTGGGAAAACCTATGAATTGCTGAAATTGAATCAGCCTAGTTTTGAAATACTGTATATAATTCTGAGAATTTGCAAGGTCATGATCCATAATAAAAAATTGATTTAGCTGACAGCATTTGGAAATATCCACTGCCTATTCTAATATACTCCCATTATGAAATGCTCCTAAGTATATATTTTCCCAATTTTGTTTCTTATGCCACTGATATTGACATTGGCATGCGTTGCCACGAAGTTTCTCAAACAGTCATTCTTTTTTCTCTCTTTTTTGCAGCTCAGCTGAGAAGTGCTATTTTGCTCAAGAGTTGCTAGGGACAAACAGAGTCAGCCCATCTCTCATTCCAAGAATTGCTAAACTAATATTACATAGTTATGTTGGCTTTACAAAACTTCTGCTTCAATTCTGAGGTGCTATGGTTTGCTTTGATAGTACTTCCAGATAAGTCATTCTTCCCATATTCCAAAAGTCAACTGCCTGAATAAAGACAACAAATAAATCCACATTGGGAAGTCCCAAGCCATGCACTAATTCAAGTTATAGCTACAGGTAGTCCTGGATTTATCACTGTAATTGAGCCCAGAATTATGGTCATAAAGAGATCATCAGGTAACCAACCTCATTTTACATTTTTTTTGCGGTGGTCATTAAGCAAACAAAAGGCTTGTTAAGTGAAACCATTATCCATAATGCACAATTTTTGCTGAAAGTAAATGTTGGTTTCTGGCTAAAAAATGTCATTAATCACAATCACACAAATCACTGCAAACAGTCATAAATGCAGACTGGTTGTGAAGTGCCCAAAATATGATCACAGGATGGCCATTGGACCTTTGAATCTGGGTCATACTTTTTTAGGGGGCGGTACATCATAATTAAGCCATGGATCATAAGTTAAGGACTAAATGTAGTTATTAAATGGGATGTGTAAAGTTTTTCTTTCAACCATTTTTTGTATGATCTTCTGAGATTTCAAAATGGCTCCTGTGCACAGAGGCAGAAAGCAAGCATTTTATACAGAAATCAACCCTAGTTCTAAATCGCTGTATGGATGCTGTAGTTCACGTTGTCTTCATCACACTGTTTTGTCTCAACCAACAACTAAAAGTCTTCACTACAAGGGCCAGGCAACTCTCTATACGGGCTCACTTCTTCAGGGTTCCCAGTTCTAAACTGCAAAATGTTAGAAAATTTTTGCACTTCTTTGTTGCCATCTAGTGATATTTTAGATTTTGCAGTTGAAATCTGACAGCCCTATTCTTCTTAGATTGTTGTTATCAAAATGTAGTTCAGTGTTGGATTTATATTTCTTTCCCCAGTGTTATTGCAGATGTGTTCAGCAAGGGATATTTTTTCCTATTACTTTGGCAAGAATGAACAAAATGAAACCTTGGTCTAGATATTATTATTTAGTATCTTAAAAGCTGCTATATTTACATGGTTTCCTCCCCATGTGGCCATGAAAAGTTGGTAGATGTAACTTATGAGGAACCCGCTTAACTCTGACCTTTGGCTTTAAATTTATATCAGCAGATCTAATTGCCTATTGGTGTTATTATACAGGAATTTCCAATCTTGGCAACTTTAAGATGAATGGACTTCAACTCCCAGAATCTCTCTGCCAGCCATACTAGCAGAGGAATTCTGGGAGTTGAAATTCACATGTCTTAAAGTTGCCTCAAAATATTATTTTTTAAATCTGGGATTATGACTTTGGGAAATTTATTATTAAGATAATTGACTTCATAACTTGAAATGGCTATTTGTGATAAGTGAAATATGCAAGCTTATTTGGGTTTTCCATTCCTGTTTTAAATTGCCAACAGTTGTAAAGAAGCTGCTTCAACTTTGTTTCACATGAAGAGCAACATACACATAGCTTTTTCCCACTCTTTCACATTGGCTTCTATTTCTCGTATGCAGAACCCTTTCATTCATAAGATTGTTTTCTAACAACTGGAATAACTGAGTAGTGCATTCAAAAGAAAACCATGCCAAATAAATGGAGAAAACTATGTAGGGAATGATTCTAGCAATGCTTTTAATTGTACTGCTCTTGTCCTCTAAAGCAGGTATCCCCAACCCCCAATGTGTGGACCAGCACCGGTATGCAGCATGCCAGAAACTGGGCCGTGCAAACAAACGAGGCCCATCTGCAGGATGCAAGCAGCCTGTGAAACCAAGCCCTTTCTGGTCTGTGGAAAACCCTCTCTCCATGGAACCAATCCCTGGTGCCCAAAAGGTTGGGGGCCACGGCTCTAAAGCATTGATGCAATGAACATGAATTTGGGCAAACTCTAGAAGACAGGGGAGGACAGGGGCGCCTGGAGTGCCATGGTCCATAGGGTCATGAAGAGTTGGACATGACTTAGCGACTGAACAACATCCTCTAAAAAATTTTTGGATGAACTGGAGAACACAATTAGGTTAGAACAAACAGCACATGTGAAGAATCTTACTTTATATCATACTTTTATTGCCTGCAGCTTCCTTATCTGCCAAACAGCCAACAGCAGGCTGGGAGGATCACAGTTTTGGCAACTGCCAAAATATTTCACCATTGATTGAAACATACTCAAGTTTACATAGGAAACATCTCAATTTTTCTGAACTGTTAAGTAAATTTGGAATTTTGAGATCAAGTTATTGAATTTGTATAAAATGGAAGAAGTAGCCAATCAGAGATTGGACAAAAGGAATTTATGGGCTTAATCTTTAAGATGCTCTGGGATTCCTGGTGCTCTCTGAGCTTGATTGTTTTATTTCTGATGTTTCATTATCTAATTTGGTAGCATCATCAGTGCTAGCAGGAGACGGGGTTTGCGCTCATTTTATATTCTAGTGACTTGCCCTGTCAGGGCTTGGTGGGAGTGGTCTTGGTGGTTCCTCAATCAGGCTGTTGTTTACCGTTAGCTTGTTTGGCAGTTCCTTGATTGTTTGCTTTTCAATTGTTGGTTTGTTAATCTTGGTGTTAAACTCTGCTTATCTGGGTGCTGATTGCTGATGAGATGTTTTGATTTTTTTTGTTCTTAGCTTTTTGAATATCTCTTTTGAATGGTATGTAGATGGTATTTATGTCTATGTGTCTGTTGATGACCAATTTGTCATCTTTAAGATGGTCTCTATCACATAAGCAATTTTTTTTTGCACATAGGTGCCCATTTTAAATCAAAGCACTGGTCTGAAGCA